ACTTCTGTATATGAGGTTTTCCTTAATCAAACCGCTCTGTATATATATTTATATGAATTCATCTGTACATACATAAATACTGCACCATGTCATGACTCTCCTGTTTACTGATCAATTCTCCCTCTGTAATTGAGGACCTTTCACTACCCTCAATTTCCTTCCCTACATGCACTAGAATAAAAGGTCCACTTGGCCTGTATCACTCGCCTGTTAGTTATTGGTAACATGTTGCTAACCTTAATTTGATCTTTTTTCTTATCAGTAGGACAAAACTGGCATTAAAAAAAACTGTTCTTACATATAAAAAGTTATTAACTGATTTTATTAAAGGAGCTAAGTTTTCTTTTCTAATGTGCCATTTAGAATTAGATGACTTACATATATATGTCATGTGCATGCCTAGAGTCTCTTTTCAATGATGATATTTCTTGTCAAATGGTACTCTTCTTGTGCTATTACGATAATCTATTTGTTAATACTACTTCATTGGTGAATTATAAAGTCTTATTACAAACTAAGTGACGTAATAGATCTTTATCAATTAAGATAAAAGCATGCAGTTTATTGTGTAAATATTACCTCAGACCCAATCAACATCTCATGAATTTGCTTATATGCACGATAATAGCATAAACGTGGCTTCACTTTGAATGCCTGATGAAAATATATAAGAAGCAGTCAGGAAAAGGCTTCGCATGTTTGTACTTTACATAAATTAAGTCATTGGAATTTTAAATCTTTTCACAACATTATTTAATAAGATGTTTTTTTACTTAGATTTTAACCTTAATTTTTCGAGCAGATTGCAGCAAGGTGACTTTAATGAAGACGGCAAAATATGGTTAATGCTGAAATGTTAATATCAACCAATCCGGAGTGTATAACAGTCACGTACGACTTTATCATTTATCTGAATCCTAGTCCTTCACCCATACAATTAGGCTGCAGGCCAAATATCAATATTCCAGGCATTTTTCTGGAAGGAGTACATTTTTCAATTAGTCACATGAGGCCCATGGGCCTTGCGATCACCTGAGGAAAACAATCCTTATAAATGGAAATTGCAGAAATCCATCAGTACAGAAGAAATATCATGGGTACTTATAAAATGTTGGGTTTAATTACTGGTTTCAATTGATAACAGAATAATATAAAAACAACAGGATTTTAACAGCATAACTGGAGTTCAACTTCAAAATAGATTTTCAAAATGTCGACCATTATAAGTGGCCATCTTTGATATATGATCAACCTGAAAATTAACACTTTGTCAGGACTGTGTACTCAACATTCCTATTAAGTTTCAAATCCCTTCCGCAGAACCGGAGTTAAAGTTTGAAATAGATTTTCAAAATACGGCAACCAGAGTGACCATCTTGGAAACCTGACCAACTCGAAATATAACAACTCTTTATCAGGACCATGTACTGAACATATCCACGACATTTCACTAAAATCTCTTAAGTAACATTTGCATTAAAGTTTAAAATGTGAAATGTTTACCTACGACAACACAAGATGGAACCCTTTGAATTGGCTCCAATGAAATATTTGAAACCCATTACTATTGGGCAAGGTCATTTACTTGGACAGCCTTTTACCTCAGAAAAATACAGGCCAAATATTGTGAATTAAGAGGCCTTGCGTTTTCCTGAAAGATGGTGTTTGAAGGATTACATCTTTTTATACCAGTGTGTGCCTAACCATTTCTAACTGCCCATCCATCTTACTGCCCTGATATCTGTTTTCTCATCTGTCACTGTCCTAACTATGTAGCAGGGTGAAAGGACATTTGGAATCGCACCTTCTCCTGCAGTCTGTCTATCTACCCCTGCCTGCCTTATTGTCCCCTACTGTCTCACTGTTCTTAATCTACTGATGTCCCATCATCTTATTTGTCACTGTATCAACAATGTACCGATAAAGATCGAGGGTGATGCAGAAAAGTATGGTAAGAAATAAAGACAGCAGCACAAGAAGAAGGTTTGATAAAGATAGATACACAGCAGGGAAAGGTGACACCCACATCAGTGGTTAGTAAGATGGAGAGACAGTAACACACTATGAGACAGGTATGGGTTAATAAAGATAGATACCCAGCAGGGAAAGGTGACACCCACATCAATGGTAAATGCGAGGAGAGAAAGTAACACTATGAGACAGGTACGGGTTAATAAAGATAGATACACAGCAGGGAAAGGTGACACCCACATCAATGGTAAATGCGAGGAGAGAAAGTAACACTATGAGACAGGTATGGGTTAATAAAGATAGATACACAGCAGGGAAAGGGGACACCCACATCAATGGTAAATGCGAGGAGAGAAAGTAACACTATGCGACAGGTATGGGTTAATAAAGATAGATACACAGCAGGGAATGGTGACATCCACATCAGTGGTAAGTAAGATGGAGAGACAGTAACACTATGAGACAGGTATGGGTTAATACAGATAGATACACAGCAGGGAAAGGCGACACCCACATCAGTGGTCAGCAAGATGGAGAGACAGTAACACACTATGAAACAGGTATGGGTTAATAAAGATAGATACACAGCAGAAAAGGTTGACACCCACATCAGTGGTAAGTAAGATGGAAAGAAAGTAACACTATGAAACAGGTATGGGTTAATAAAGATAGATAAACAGCAGGAAAAGGCGACACCCACATCAGTGGTAAGGAAGATGGAGAGACAGTAACACACTATGAGACAGGTATGAGTTAATAAAGATAGATACACAGCAGGGAAAGGTGACACACACATCAGTGGTTAGTAAGATGGAGAGACAGTAACACACTATGAGACAGGTATGGGTTAATAAAGATAGATAAACAGCAGGAAAAGGCGACACCCACATCAGTGGAAAGTGTGATGGAGAGACAGTTACACACTATGAGACAGGTATGGGTTAATAAAGATAGATAAACAGCAGGGAAAGGCGACACCCACATCAGTGGTCAGCAAGATGGAGAGACAGTAACACACTATGAAACAGGTATGGGTTAATAAAGATAGATACACAGCAGAAAAGGTTGACACCCACATCAATGGTAAATGCGAGAAGAAAAAGTAACACTATGAGACAGATATGGGTTAATAAAGATAGATACACAGCAGGGAATGGTGACATCCACATCAGTGGTAAGTAAGATGGAGAGACAGTAACACACTATGAGACAAGTATGGGTTAATACAGATAGATACACAGCAGGAAAGGTGACACCCACATCAGTGGTAAGTAAGATGGAGAGACAGTAACACACTATGAGACAGGTATGAGTTAATAAAGATAGATACACAGCAGGGAAAGGTTGACACCCACATCAATGGTAAATGCGAGGAGAGAAAGGAACACTATGAGACAGGTATGGGTTAATAAAGATAGATAAACAGCAGGAAAAGGCGACACCCACATCAGTGGTAAGGAAGATGGAGAGACAGTAACACACTATGAGACAGGTATGGGTTAATGAAGATAGATACACAGCAGGGAAAGGTGACACCCACATCAGTGGTTAGTAAGATAGAGAGACAGTAACACACTATGAGACAGGTATGGTTTAATAAAGATAGATACACAGCAGGGAAAGGTGACACCCACATCAGTGGTTAGTAAGATAGAGAGACAGTAACACACTATGAGACAGGTATGGTTTAATAAAGATAGATACACAGCAGGGAAAGGTGACACCCACATCAGTGGTCAGGAAGATGGAGAGACAGTAAAACACTATGAGACAGGTATTGGTTAATAAAGATAGATACACAGCAGAAAAGGTTGACACCCACATCAATGGTAAATGCGAGAAGAAAAAGTAACACTATGAGACAGGTATGGGTTAATAAAGATAGATACACAGCAGGGAAAGGCGACACCCACATCAGTGGTCAGCAAGATGGAGAGACAGTAACACACTATGAAACAGGTATGGGTTAATAAAGATAGATACACAGCAGGGAAAGGCGACACCCACATCAGTGGTCAGTAAGATGGAGAGACAGTAACACACTATGAGACAGGTATGGGTTAATAAAGATAGATACACAGCAGGGAAAGGTGACACCCACATCAGTGGTAAGTAAGATGGAGAGACAGTAAAACACTATGAGACAGGTATGGGTTAATAAAGATAGATACACAGCAGAAAAGGTTGACACCCACATCAGTGGTAAGTAAGATGGAAAGAAAGTAACACTATGAAACAGGTATGGGTTAATAAAGATAGATAAACAGCAGGAAAAGGCGACACCCACATCAGTGGTAAGGAAGATGGAGAGACAGTAACACACTATGAGACAGGTATGGGTTAATAAAGATAGATACACAGCAGGGAAAGGTGGCACCCACATCAGTGGTAAGTAAGATGGAGAGACAGTATTACACTATGAGACAGGTATGGGTAAATAAAGATAGATACACAGCAGGGAAAGGTGGCACCCACATCAGTGGTAAGTAAGATGGAGAGACAGTAACACTATGAGACAGGTATGGGTTAATACAGATAGATACACAGCAGGGAAAGGTGACACTCACATCAGTGGTAAGTAAGATGGAGAGACAGTAACACACTATGAGACAAGTATGGGTTAATAAAGATAGATACACAGCAGGGAAGGGTGACACCCACATCAGTGGTCAGTAAGATGGAGAGACAGTAACACACTATGAGACAGGTATGGGTTAATAAAGATAGATACACAGCAGGGAAGGGTGACACCCACATCAGTGGTCAGTAAGACGGAGAGACAGTAACACACTATGAGACAGGTATGATTTAATACAGATAGATACACAGCAGGTTAGTAAGATGGAGAGTTATATAGTAACAGATAATTAGACAGGCATTGGGAAATGAAAATAGGACTAAGTGTATGTATTAAAAGGTGTCATGTGAAAACGAACATGGTATAATTCTCTGCACACTGATAAAAGATTTTGGTAACAGCATTGTTCAAAGTGGACTGAAAAGCTTTGACATTGACATAAGTGACTTACCCTAGTGAATTTGACACCTTGCGATCTCCAACCTTGTACATCTGAGCCACCAGCACCAGTAAACACTGCACACTATATAGCCAACTGTTGCAGTCCCACCTTCACAGATCAATCAGCTCTACATGGACACATGTCCTCCTGTGACACGACAATAATACGGCACACTGCATAGACGGCCAACTCAATCAACTCGCTTGATCTATCCATTAAGAACAATGCAGCAAGAGCTGATGATGAGCCTGGACCTCTTTACTTGGTCACACTCCGAATCATCAACCCTAGCGTGCACTGAACATGTAGACAAATCTCAGAGCTTCCACCTCCATGGCAACACAAGAGATATCAGCTGCTATGGTTATATGTGAATATCTTGCAGTCACTACGGCTATAGTGTTGAATGGTATTAGAGAGAACCAACACTGTGAGTACTATAGAGCTTTGGTACATCACTTGATACAATGTAGGATATCATTATTGGGATGTTTCCATAAGTCATATTTAGTAAATAATGCTTGCAATGTATTAAGCACCTGAGACATTTAAATAAGGGGCCAATGGGGCCTGCATCACTAACTTTGTTCTCCTGAACTAGAAATGAAAATGTTCCAGAGAACCTGACACCAATATATTTTTCCTATTTCCCCTATTGGGCATTGCCCCTTCTCCAGGATGTCCTCATTCCTGACAAGGGCTACACCATTCATTCACAATAGTGAATCTTCTTGGCACTGAATGCCCAATACAAAATGTATAAAAACTCCCCTCAAAGCTGTTCTTACCTAGTAGCCTTTTTGAAGAAATTTGACAATAAACGTATGGATGGACAATGGGCACCGCACCATGGCAGAAGCTCACTAGCACTTTGTATAAGGTGAGCAAAACAATACTTCATAAGACGATAAAAACTTACTTCATAATATAGATTAGCTTGTATGTTTTATGACAAGTTTTTTATAAAGGAACAGAGGTTAAGTGAGATTTAGCATATGCATGCATGCACCAATGAAGAGGCCTGAGCAGAGTTAACTCTCTGTAAACAAGGGGGAGTGGCATATATGCATGTTTTATACTCTCTGTGCTTTGATTTGCACTCATAAAAAATATCAATGCTGTAATGGTTAGAAATTTATTCAATAATACACCATTAAATATCCACGATACATATTCTACACAATTAAATATCCACGATACATATTCTAGTGGAGTGGTCTGAAGGTTTGTTTACCCTCAGCAATTATCTACCCCTTGCGCTTTACCCTTGGGGAATATGACCGCTTCAGGTAAATAAACCTCAATCCATCTGTATAATGTGTTATATTGTGCCAAGAGAAATAACATGAGAGTATATGGTGACGCATGACTTTACTTGGTGTATCAGTTTGTGATATGCAAACATCAGGCTGGACAGAACATTTTCTATTACACATATTGGATATCTGTTGTTAATTGAAACTAATGTGGCATATTTCAAATTCCAAAAATAGTGATAATGAGGTCACGAGGCTATAAGCTACAGGATCAATCCTGAATGAGTTATATACAATTTTCTGCTGAAAGTTAAGAAATATATGTATTTAGACCACATATTACACTGTTGCTATCTAGCCTAATCTTACTGCTGAGTATTTTTATCTGGAAGTTCAAGGAAAGTTGAAGGTCGATTAAACAATGGAACACAGGAATGCTGGTACCCACTTAAAGGTCAACTGTACACAGATGAAGGTGAAGCTCGTAACTGTTTACTGAATGGGTTCCAAATATTTATACTCAATTCACTTCATCCAAGGAACTCTCTGGCAAGCTAAAATTAACCATCATAAGAAGAAAAATATCCAGACAGTATACCTCTGTGTGAAACAGACAAATACTGGAATTTTTCAAATAGACATTGCGGTGTTAATATGGACTATAAAAAGAACAATAATGGCTTCCGAGCTCTTCGGTGAAATTAAAAATATAAATGATATAAATATAATTATCGAGAGATCTATACATTTCACGTTCAGCAGCTTTCTCTAAAGAATTAGTTAAATAACCCTGAGCTAATGCATTACATTTTCCTGCAAAGAAAATTGTTTTTTTTTATTTTAACTATCTAATAACTTACCGAGTGAACTATTTGTCATTTGATTTTGCATTTCGTATTTCAGTCAATGTAAAAAATAAATAAATTAAAAGATAGTTATTTAGTAGAATGTATTATTGGGAAGCATTTGAAGAAGAACGTTTTTTTGCAATGACATTTTCTCTATAAACCAACATCAATGATCCTGGTCATCTAATTGGTTTGGCTGTCAAATTCATCTGCGGCGGTCTTACAGAGCTTCCCTTCATCCTGAGCTATTGTCAGTCATAGCTGTATGGCATCATTACAAGTTTCCTCCACAGTTCAGTCAGAAGCATTCACCTTAACGGGGAGCCTGGTCCTCTCAGACAAGGTAAATGAAGACAAATGGTACATAAGTCTTAAAATGTGTTGGTGGAACGACATCACGGCCTACCCTTTACCGATCTGATCAAGCACACAATTCTGGGGTGTACAATACTCCGCCTTTATAGCAGGCCTATCCTTTACCGATCTGATCAAGCACACAATTCTGGGGTGTACAATACTAGGCCTATCCTTTACCAATCTGATCAAGCACACAATTCTGGAGTGTACAATACTCCGCCTATATAGCAGGCCTATCCTTTAACGATCTGATCAAGCACACAATTCTGGGATGTCCAATACTAGGCCTATCCTTTACCGATCTGATCAAGCACACAATTCTGGGGTGTACAATACTCCGCCTTTATAGCAGGCCTATCCTTTCCCGATCTGATCAAGCACACAATTCTGGGGTGTACAATACTCCGCCCATATAGCAGCTGGAGTATTATGAGATTGTGTGAAGCTTGAGATCATCGCCACCGCTACAATTTTACAATGGTAAATTAATCTAATGGTGAATGATCCAGTTATTTTATTGGAGCTATCCAAAAATAAGGGCCTAAGTAAAATGTGTTTGTATGTAAATATATTATACATAAATGACATCATAAATAACTTTTACTCTGCTATTTGAATTTCAAGGTGTAAACATTGGCATTTTCGAATGAAAGTAAAGGAATATTCATGATTTATTTAAAATAAAGAAAACTGGCAAGATAACCCTTCTGAATCATTTTTGTAAAAAAAGAAAAACTATAATTTGTAAAAAAACAACAACACTGGAAGCATAGGGTGCACAGTACCTCCTCCCACATATCTACTAATTAAAGTTTAAAGTTCATTCATGAATCAGTAGCAAAAATACGCTGCAGAAACCTATTTTACTGGTATTTTAGTACTTGAGATCAAGGTCAAATGTCAAATTGAAATGTCAGTGACCTAAATTTATTGAGTGTCCAATGTGTACCCTGACCCATGATGTACCTTTATACAAATGTTGATGTTCTTTTATGAAACACCGGCTTAGATATTCTCCAGAAACCATGATTTCAGAACTTGAGGTCAAGGTCAAATTTCAAACAGAGGTCACAATTAATTTGTTTAAAGTTTCCATACAACACTTTCCCATGATCTGATCAAGCACACAATTCTGGGGTGTACAATAATTTGTTTAAAGTTGCCATACAACACTTTCCCATGATATACATATATACAAAGTGTGATTCCCATACATGAAACAGCAAGAAATATTCTCAGTAAATAGTTATTTTAGCACTTGAGGTCAAGGTCAAAGGTCTAAATGAAGTCGGAGTGATATCATTTGAGATTGTGACACACTGCCTTCCCATGATGTACCCATATACAAAGTTTGTTATTGCACCTTTGTTTAACAGTGGCTGCTGGCATATGGTCCAGAAACCATTATTTTAGTACTTGAGGTCAAGGCCCAAAGATGAAATTGAGTTCAAATTGACCTCATTTTTGGATGTGACACACTGTATTCCTATGATGCACCTGTATGTAATTATTACAAAAGTTTGATGCCAATTCAGGAAAAGCCATTGAGATTTCCTCCAGAAATCATTATTACAGTACTTGAGGTCAAGGTCAAAGGTCAATTAAGATCACAGTGACCTTGTTTTAGGATGTTACACACCACCATGCCTAGATGTACCCCTATGGGTTTGTGATGATAAAAGACATCTTCAATTCTTGAATTACCGTTACTTTATACTCACTTATGAAGTACGCAGTATAGGCAAAAAATGGTTGTAATAGCAGGAGCATGCCAAAATTTCACAAGAAATATCATTATTTTTAAGAGGCCCATTGGATCATGCAGGATATTTATGTAAATCATCCAATTCTTTATGGCATGTATTTTTTTTTTTTTTTTTTTTTTTTGTTCAATACCTTTTACACCTTTCTCATTAACGGAAAGTTAAAATTAGAAATGCCACGTGCATCCTGCTGATAAGAAAATCATCAAAGGTTGGTTAGCAGCACGGTAACTTTAATGAATATTGGTTCAAAAAATATTGATTTAAAATCATTTTAAGGAAGGTGAAATTTACAGGAAATGGTGGGGATTAGGGGGATGGGAGTAAAAGCTGGAGTGATAATAATTTGATAAATGAAATGTTCCCCCTTCCTAACTGTTAAAAGAGGGAGACACTTGCTTTACTACTTTACAAAGTGACAATAGGAGAGTCCATCATGAATATTGTGGCTGAAATGTATGTGCTGTCTCGAATGTAATCATGGGTTTGGTTTGTTTGTACTTTACATCCTATTTACAGCTATGGCCATATTCTTAAGCATCAAAATCCATTGATTAGAACTGTGCTACCTGGACAGCATGTGGTGCTATATGGGAACGGTAGATAACAACAGAGAGGTAGGTTTGCAAAGTAACCACACAAAGCCATTAACTGATTAAAAACATAATTATAATAACCTCTGTGTAACAGCTGAAAAGGGTAACACTAATTAACCACTTTTGACAGCTGGTAAAGAAAACATTAACCTCAAGGAAACAACTTATAGGGGAAACCTGGTATGGACCTCTCAGTAAAACCCCTGTCACACTAGGGCCGCGTTCCCACTGCGTCCAAGAAAAATCCAGAACGCCAATCTGCACGCAGTGGAATCCCAAGCATCGCCACGGCAACGCAGTGGCATCGCCAGTAAAGGTGGTGGGATAGCATAGAACGCCGAGCGATGGTGCACACTTTGAGGATGCCCAAAACAAACGCGGTGGTCGGCGTTCTGTTAAGAGCGCAGTAGAATCGCCTTGAGGTCGTTGTAGCAGCGCAGTTAGGTCTCTTACAACACCACAGAATCGCTGTGGGCATGCACAGAGGATGCATTGCG